AGGCTCGAGCTGCGGCAGAGGCGTTCCTGTTTGATTACCAGAACGCCACATGCAATGTTTCACCAACCAATCAGAGAACGCTTGCGTGGTACGCTGTGTTAAGATGTCATTTCCGCTGCTTAACATCAGCGAAAGTAAAAGAACCGCGCAGATAGATGTCCGTGCGCCTTGTGGATGCACGTGAGATGCACCAGCTTCCAGCGCGATATGGCCGTACGTATTGTGAATTTGTGCTCGTCTGAATGGTAACGGATTATGAAGCCTCAATTTTAAATGCCCGTGTCATTTCATCGGTAGCTTGCTACGCAGTTAACTTCATGGCTTGAAAGAAATAGTAAAAGTTGCTAACAATGCTATCGGTAGATGAGCTTGCAGCGAAGCGTGTTTTTTTTTTTTTTGCTGCCTAAACGTATAGAAAAGTGCTATACGTTTTGTCCTTTTACCGTTTTATAATAACGCGTGACGTGTTCAAATTTAACCTGTAGTTACGACCACAAAAAGTAAATGCTAAAAGTTTATGACGTTTGTTAGTGGTTGGCAATCTGATTGAAAATGATTTGGTTCTTTTCTTTTGACTAGGTTCATCTATCGATACTGTCCAGTGGACAAAGGCCACAAGCAGTAACGTGCAGCGATTCGAAGTGCTCGTTACTGCACTGTCCCTTATGTCCACGTTACACAGGTGATTATCCTCGAGTGGAGGCTCATATACAAAGCCATCTGAAGACAGCGGTACATCACGGAGGTATGCTTTCTTTTGGTTGGTTGCAATGAGCCTCCTCGTTGGTTGGTTGGATAGATAGAAGAGTAATTAATGGCAGTCAATTTTGCCAGTAATGTCAACAAATTATTAGCAACTAATTAGCCTACTTTTCTAACATTATGCATGCCTCCTAACAACTCGCACATTACAAATATTAGCTGCAGTAGGTTTGCTCCATTTTGTCAAGTGACTTAATTTCTGTACTGCACTAAAATACGATATAATAACAATAACAAGACCCAATAGCTTAGTTACAGACTCATGAAGGACATTTGCACTACGTTACTTTATTGCACTCTGTGGTCTGCCCACACGTACATCTCGTCAAATTTTTATATATATAAATTTTTTAATTTATTAATGCATGCCCTTAATATAGACATATTATTTTATAGCTCATTCTTTTACCTATTCTGTGTTAAATTCCTGATTTGTGAATTCGTTCTCAAACAATGGCAATAAAACCTATTCTTATTCTGAAATATTTCACTTAAAATTCCAAGCATATCTTGAATGTTTTTCAATGGCACTTATCTCCTTTTCCTCATCATGTATCTGTATTTATTTTCTTTGTGTTTTCATTTTAGAGTATGTGATGTTCACTTGTAACTTGGACTGCAGAAGTGACAGTCACTACCACTGTTGTGAGTGTGGAAGGATTTATCCAAGGAGGAAGGCTATAATCAAGCATCTAGGCACCTGCCAGAGCCGGCCGCTGCCCCAGAGTCAGCCTCTTCTTGCCTCCCTGCCGCTGCCCAGAGCTAGCAGTTCTTCTAATGTGAGACGAGTGCAGTGCACCATATGTCATCTTGAATTGAATAAGAAGAACTTAAAAGAACATATGAGGCGCCAACACCCCATTGTTAAAGAGGATATCAGTGTTGATCGTTATCTAGCCTGTGAATGTCTGGACATTGACATGGGCATTTATGCAGTTAAGAAGTCATTTAACAGCAACAGTGCGCCCATTCATGTCCAAAAGAAAACCTCCGGCATGAATCACCTAATTATGTGCCCTTTAGATTCCTGTCATCTTAAAGCCGAAGTTATGCGTAGAAGTGGGTTTGGGTCGTATGACTGTGTTCATATACAGTCCTTAAAATATTGTCCACCTTCCTCCCCCTCCAATATTGAGCTCAAGGGGGATATCCTGGGTGAAATTGTCAGCAGCAGGTGGTTTAGTGAAGAAAAAAAGAGATTGTGTCTCCTTAGACAACAAGCAGCAAGAGAGAAAGGCACCCCATTCAGTATTGAGGTCAAAGTGGGAAGCTCGATCATGAAAAAATTTGTATCGGTCTATGAGCCACAACTCACATATTGCAATAACGTTGGCAGAGTAATGGTCATGCTGGACACAGTGAAAAACACTTGGCATTGCCATTGTGCTGCGAGGAAACAAGCTTGTATTCACAAGTGCATTGCCAGATGGCACCTGTTCCAAACTATGAAGGAGCATTTCCTAACTAATGGTGATGATGACATTGATGACAGCGATGTACCTGATGAAGAGCCAGAATTGGAGTACAACAAAATACAAGAGGACCCCTGCAAGTACCCTCCACAAGGCGAGGACCTGAGAAGAACTGTAACCTATATACATATAAACAAAAAGCTTCCTGGGGAATTGCCGTCATACTTTTCTGGCCTGTCAAGTGAGGCTGACCTACCAAAACACTTGATCCCTAAGGAAGAGGTTTGCCCTGAATGCCCGGGCAATATTCCTCTTGGTGAGCCCATAATCATAACGCAAGCTGCAAAGATAATAACGGTCAAGGGAGTCATAGAAGGTTAGTGGCATGTATCATTATGTGTATGGTATTATGCTGATATGTACCATGTACATATCTGCATAAGAGTATGTACCATGTACATATCAGCTGATTTTTCTTTTTTTCTTTTTTTTTTTGTTATACAGGTGTGGCAACTTACTGTAAAAAATGCAGTTCATGTGGTCTGATTATTCGATACCAAGAATGGGAAGACGGTGTGCACAATTTTAATGACAGAATAATTTTGACCCTCCATTTTTGCATATACCTTCGAAATTGCCTCCAGGTAATATCCAGGAGTGAATTTTTTTTTATATATATCTATATATATATATTATATTATATTATTTTTTTTCTTTATTTTTTTATCCAGACACATACAGCTTTAGGTCGCGCAATCGAAACATTGGAGCTGACCTCACAACAGAAGTTCCCTAATAAAAACACTGTGATACATGCATATCTCCACTTTGAGGCCCTGTCAGACCATCAATATGATTTCTGCTGTGTTCGTTGTGGTTATTACCCACCGGTTGTGGTGATGGATCTGCATAAGAGTTGTGTTTTTAGCTTGGCAGGTACAGTCCATGTCTAATTTCATGTTTCTGTTTACACGGCAGTAGTCGGCAGAATTATTCCAAAGATGAAGTGTCAGAAGAATGAATCATCAATTGTATTGATCCCCTATGTTTTTTTTTGTTTTTTTTACACTTGTAGTCAGTGAACTCGAGGACCCACCAATTGACTATAACGGAGAGGTGGACATTGACGAGTTCTGGACCGCCTTATCTTTAGAGAGAATAGCGCGTGGTTTTGTCACAAGTAGGTGATATAAAATGTTTATTCAATGTTCATATTGTAAGATGAAAAACAATTGTCTTTTATTTGTTTTTTGTTGTTGTTATAGTCTTACTGCTCCTCTTATCTGAGTTCAAACGTTTGTTTTTTTCTTTCAGGTGACAGGCAAAATCCATTTGCAGTTGCACCCACATACCACCGCTGGGCACCGTGGATTGGACGTCATACAAGAAAGTCAAACATGGTGCTCAATACGGAGTTTGAAAAAGTTCATGCATCAAGACCACAAAAAGAATGCGCAGAAATTGAAATAACTGAAGACAGGCTCTTGGATGAAATATCCAATTTGAAGGTTAACATATTTGCATGTTAGTGTTTTTTTAACCAATCATAATAAATGAAGATATATTTACAGTGTATTCCTACTTTGCGTGATAGGTCCATGCCATCCGCAAACTTTGCAAAGAGTGCAAAATAGACTCTAAAGGTTCCAAAATGGAACTGATAATGCGTTTGCGTCACGAAATGGCTACACGAAGTAAATACGACAAAATCTTTCAGAAGGTTTGGGGTGCATCGGGTAATTATTATTATTATTATTATTATTATTATTTTTTTTTTTTTGCTTTATTCTAATGTAGTTGACATTTCTTCCCCAGGCGGCTGGGCTGTTATTATGTGCCCCTGTGGACAAGTTTTATCTCTGAAATTTAACATAAGGGCAGAAAGTCCACGGGACTTCACAGACTTGCTACTCTCATGGAAACACCTACCGAATATTTGTATCTACGATTTTGCAAGAGGTCTTGCAGTACATGCAAATTTAAGAGAGCCTGTCAGCCTACCTTTCAGTCCCCATGAGGGGAGACTACTGGACCCCAGCCCGACTAACATCCAGTTGGCTTCCGGAGGTGGCACAGTGAATTTACCATGGCTAATGACAAAAAAGACCTTCCCAGACCCAAATGGGCATCCTTTAACAGGATCCCAAGAGCACTACTGCCTCTATGATACCTTTCACGAAAGAAACACCAAAGACCCCAGTGATGTGCTCCGTAGGATAGGACTTGTGCCCGAACTCACTGGACGAATAAACAGTCAAGTTGCGGAACAGCTCTTCTCAGTCATGAAAAAAAACAATTATTTCATGAACATGTATTCACCTTCAACACATGTCTTCATGATGCGCAACATTATTCATCACTATAATAGGCGAAGAAACCAGGCCATCATGGAAGACTTGAAAAATCTTGTGAGTCCTGAAATTCCAATCACCCTCAATGAATTTGGACAGGCAGAGTTTTTTCTCTCCTCTTCAACAACACCGAGTGGGACTGCTCAGGCCAATGCATCTCCACCCACAAAACGTAAGGGCTGTTTTTCTGTTTATATTTTACTAGTTTTTGTATCCAGTATAAATTGTTATTTCCCCTCTGGTTTGGAATTAGGATCGCGGCTAGAATTGGTCTCAGCAACTGAGGCCATGCCATGTTGGAGAAAAACACTTCATGCGAGTGTCTCTGGATTAGTAAGTTATTAGTAATATTTGTCTAAATGTCATTATTATGCATGCCTGTATATAATTAAATGTATTTCATCATAGTTGGACTATGTATTGGACACAAAAGGCAACCCATATGAGGCTTTTGTTCTTGCCAACCACGTGGTCCTCCAAAGATCTGATTTTTGGAGCCTGGGCCTACAGAGGAACGTTGAGGCATCGGTAAATGTTATCATTTTTGTTGGTTTTTAAATTTCTGTTTGTGTGTACTTGCAGTATGTGACAGTGTCCTTATTGTTTCTTTATAGATAGCAAATTGCTGTTTCAAAATAATCACAAACATTGCAAGTGATCATGTAAGTTTTTTTATTTTTTCTGTAAATTTCAATTACAAATATGTATGTTAGTGTTGAGTAAAAAGCCATTACGCATTGGTTTTAAAGGGCATTGCAACCATGGCTGTCGATGCTTATGTTGTGGTAACCTGGCTTCCACCCTATTCTGACAAACCCCAGGATTACATGATCGTGAGTAATGATGCATTAATACTTGCATCGCAGCTTTCACCACATATCCTTCAAGTTAATAGTAAAGCCGTTTTTGTTTCCCCAGAGTGATTTTTTGAACAAGGATGTTGTGCTGCTTCCTGCCTGGCAGCCTGAACACTGGACCCTATGTGTGAGTAATCTATTTGATATGTACTTGGCTGAATATGAATGAGATTTTGAAAGAAGTTATGTTTATTATAAGTTTTGTATTCTTCATGCATTCCATAACTATGATACAGTACATTCATGCAATATTGTAATCCTGGTTTGACCATGGAGCTTATTTTGTAGAATTCAGAGTACATAATACATTTCCAATGTTTTAATGGTCATAAAATAACTTGTACCCTATGGTTGTGATTTGCACACAGAAATTTAAGGAACTTACTGTACAACTGTTTGAGAATACGGTCCTTAACTATGTCTTGCTATTCCGTGAAATTACATTTTTACAGGTTCTCAAACCAAAACAAAGGTCCTTGCACTTTTATGACTCCAGTAACCCTACGGGCTTTGGAGATGGCCGCTACTTAGAAGTCTTCAGGTTTTTCAAAGAAATCTGAATGCCAGTTCATTATGTTCATGGAAAACTCACATCTTGAAGCAGTAATTATTTGTTTAATAGATTTTTTTTTAATGAAGTAAGCTGGCATTGTTGTGTGTTATTAGAGGTGGGAAGTAAGTCCCCAACACCCTAGGCAGATTTATTTTTATGTTTCATTTAAATGTTTTCACATCAATATAAAGCTATTGTCATTAAACTTGTAACAAAATTCTATGCCTAATTGAGGAAATTCATATTTCATAGAATACTTAGAAGGAGCAATGAGCCATAAAACTACTTTACTTGTAAGTGATTACTTCACACCTCTGAGTTGTCTAGGTGAACAGTACACTGACGGGAATGGCTTTTCAGTCCTTTTTTTATTCAGCTGGCCAGCTTAATTGTAATACATTACAGTAATCGGTAACGTATTGTAGTGTGGGAATACATAGAATAATAAATAAATCATACAATTATGGCTTGTAGTTGCAAAATACTGCTTCTAGAACTGAGTTGATCTCAGGAAGTATGGTGGTTCTGTTTTAGACTATACCTCCTTTTTTTTTTCTTTTTTTTCTTGTGTTCGATACAAATGTATGAAGTCTCTATTAGGAATTGCTGTTACTCCCAGACTAGTTTATTTATATGGTTATATACACTAATTGTTTGGGGGGGCTTATCTTGGAATATTGGCAATTCCTTGTTGCGACTCCATGTTACATTTCACAGGCTACTGCACAGTACTGCTTATTTATTTATATTTTTATCCTAGTAACCTCGCACTTGCTGTGGCCAGAGAGGAGTGGACTGGCTACTTGTTGGCAGACTGTGAGGTAAATTTTAGGTGTCTGACACTGGAGCTTTAATGAGCTTATAAAGCACTTTTTATACAAGAATATAACACAAAGTACTTAACAATTTGGAGCCCATCCTCCAGAGAGTGATTGCCATGTGGTGATCATTATTTATCATGCAATATTATATTTACAGGGGGCCTCATATCAGCACTTAAGCAACAACTGCGGCGTTTTCATGTTGATGGTGAGTTATAGCTTGACGCCAAAATATCACTTTTGATTAGTTATGATAGATAAACCTTTGTCTGTATTTCAGTATGCTTTGTATGCTGTCCTTGAAAAGACCCATGACTTTGGTGAGGTCAGTGATTTCAACTGAAATTTGATTCCTATTTATTGTACTCTTCCCGGTAAATTAAGTTATGTAATTATTCAGTAGGTCCTGTATATTTACTTGCAGCTTTTGTCTGTCATTGGTCACTAGTAAACGATGACCATGGTAATGATATGAAATGTCAAGTGTTTAACTTGGTTATGTAAATGTTCAGGATGACATGATGACAATCAGAAGGTGGTGGTGTGGGCAGCTGCTGCAGAACATCCCTGACAGGTATGTCATTGTGTCCATAATTTGTGATTTATTTATACTTGTTGGTACAATATTCTATACTTTCAATCTCTCAGCAACTCTGGCGGACCAGTGGTACCACCAGCTGTGCTCAAGGAGCGGGAGGAGAGCCGGGAGGAGAGCCGGGAGGAGAGCCGGGAGGAGAGCCGGGAGGAGAGCCGGGAGGAGAGCCGGGAGGAGAGCCGGGAGGAGAGCCATCTCCCTCCCGAAATATGGGACATTATTATTAGAATGACCCTGGAAACAAACATGGCAATGTTGGAGTCTATAAACAGGGTGTCTAAAATGTTTCGATCCATGGCTCAGCAATACACTCCTGTGATCCATTTGAACAACTACATAGCAGAGAGCCTTAAACTTAAAAGAAATGTGGTTCAAATTAAGATTGGAAAAATTTGCACGGTGGCAGGTCAGAGCAGCGGTCTTAGTCTGCGACTGGCTCAACTGTTTTCTTCCGAAAAAAACTGGAAGGAGGCATTTGTTGTTCTTCACTTTAAAGGCCATGGAAAATATGCCATTGAGGATATTGAGTTTCCAGTTTTTGTTCAATAAAAAGTGATTACCATACCCAATAAAGGCATTGTAATCCATTTTTGAGAGAGTGCCTTGGTTCTGTATTTATACATTGACTATCCCTTCACCAAAACCCACCATTTTTTTACTGACTGGTGGTCCATGAAGCGCCCTCTTTTTTTCTTTTTTTAACAAGTTAGATCTATTCGAGTTTTGGTTAAAATAAGGTCAATTGTAAAAGTATGTATGTTTGATGAAGTTAAATTGAACATAAATATAATATTTATACATAAACTATGCAAACAGGGTTTCCTTGGGGCATTAAACCGCATTAGTCATTCATCATTTACCTGTAGAAGTTCTGTAGAATACAAAATAATAGCAGAGACTGGAGGTTTGGAAGAAATTATTTGCTATTTCAAGTTACTTGCTTAATCCAATTTTCAATTTAATATGAAAATGAATATAATATATGCACAGCCCCTGGTTTTTGTGTCTTTAAAAATGTTCAATTTGTTACATTCAATTTAAAAAGCATTCCACGCTTAAATCAGAGTCAGTGAAATAATGCTGTACAAAATCATAATTTAATACATTATCAGAGGTTGTATTAACCTTTGATAATGTACCCCCCCCCCCCCCCCCCATATAGCAATATAGCGGTGACAACCCTTATTTTGAAATGTTTGTGAAGAACGGATGTTTGGGGGCGTTCTTGTGTGTTGGGGCGTTCTTGTGTTTCTGGCTGCAGCTGGACGATATTGGCTCCTGGAGTAAATGACGGAACTCTGCAAACACTGCAGCCTCTCAAGTCTGTGGTGAACCCAGAACATGTTTTGTTGAAGCCCTACAACAACGTTATTTTGCTTTATATAACAAATAAAGGCTCGCTGCTCATTGAAAAATCCACCGCTGTCCTGACTACAGACAACAGAGAAGCTCCTCCCACCGGCGTCAGGCGCGTCACTCGCGTCAAAAGCTTCAAGCACCAAAATGACAAAACTATCCCGGCGTCAGTTGAAGCGCGTCAAAAGCTTTTTGAAGCTTTTGGTCTGAACGCGCCTTAAGATTGATAAGTGAAATTAATAAAGTGAATTAAGTGTAGTGTAAACAATTAGCATTAGAATAAAAGTATAGAGTAAGAAAAGTGAAATTAGCTTCTAATTTGAGACTCAGCTCGTTTTTGTCTGTTTTGACTGAATCTACGGAGTTCTTGCGTGTCCAATAGTGTTTATTTTTATTTTTGATTTGTTTTTGTTTTTTTCCCAGGATAGAGGATAAGGATAGAGGATAAAATCCACTGATATTTGGATGATTATGAGTTTAATGCATACATTTTCTTTGTTTTTTAATAATTTTTTAAAGTTTTTTGTTTTAGTTTTTTTTTTTTTCACTTTATTGATTGATCAAATTGAGTGATCACATGTGATTATGTGATCAAAGGGGTGAGTGTTAGTATTAGATAGCAATATGGCCTACGTGCAGGACTCTACAAGGACTCTGATTATTATGACTATGATGTGACTGTCTCTGTGTGACACGTATGTCTTTCGATGTGTGACGTGACAATGACTATATAAACTGTGTACTGACTCCATTCTGTCTGAGAGAAGGAAACAAAGGAAACAACTGGAACTTGAGAAAAACTTAAATAAACTTCCAGAGTTTGGCGCACCACGATCCGTCTCTTTCTGCTTCATCCCTGACAGTTTGAATCTGAACTTTGCGTCTTTTGCATTCCTCCTGTACTTGTAAATCGTTCATGTTTCGTCTCAGATATTTACCACTTATTGTTTTGCTGCTTGTGCTGAATAAAATTTATCCATTCGGACCATAACCTCCCGCCATATGAACAGTTTCTTCCCCTCTGCTGTTGGACTCTTGAACACTTCACAACCTGTCCTCCCGCCCTTACAAAGTCACCTTACTACCCTGGTGACTCTGCATATTGTGTGCACCATGTGCACTTGTATATTGTACAGGTCCTTCTAAAAAAATTTGCATATTGTGAAAAGTTCATTATTTTCTGTAATTTACTGATAAACATTAGACTTCCATATATTTTAGAATCATTACACACAACTGAAGTAGTTCAAGGCTTTTATTGTTTTAATATTGATGATTTTGGCACAAAAAAGTAAAGAAAAAACAAAAATCCCTATCTAAAAAAGCATATGTCATCTGACCAATAAAAGAAAAGTGTTTTTGATACAAAAAAAGTCAACTTTCAAATAATGATGTACAGTTATGCACTCAATACTTGATCAGGAATCCTTTTGCAGAAATAACTGCTTCAATGCGGCGTGGCATGGAGGCAATCCGCCTGTGGCACTGCTGTGGTGTTATGGAGGCCCAGGATGCTTCGAAAGTGGCCTTAAGTTTATCCACAGCGTTGGGTCTGGTGACTCTCAACTTCCTCTTCACAATAACAATTGAGTACAGTAATCCCACGGTCAGTAAACTATTTACCAGTGGTTTTGGCACTGTCAGCTATGGAGGACCGTGGCTGCCAAAACAATAAATATATACAGAAATAAATAAATAAATAAAAAAAAGATACAATTTGCAAAGAAATGCAATTATGAGAATAAGTGCATTTTGTATTTATTTATTTATATATTTATTTATTTCTGTATTTATATATTTATTTCTGTATTTATTCATACATTTATTTCTGCATTTATTTCTCTATTTATTTATTTATTTTTGCATTTATTTATTTCTCTTTTTTTTCTGTATTTATTTATTTCTGTATTTATTTCCGTATTTCTCTTAATGATATGCAAATCATGGGGTGGGCCGGGATGCATATGGGTTGCATATGGAAGAATGCTTGAGATTTTTATTTTTTCGTTCAGACATGGCTATAGCGAGAACACAGTGGTCTCAACATGACCGCCTATGCTGGACAAGCTATGGAGCAAGGAAAAAGATTAACCAATGAGCTTACAGCAGGGGCATCCCGGCCCACCCCATGATTTGCATATCATTAAGAGAAATACGGAAATAAATACAGAAATAAATAAATAAATGCAAAAATAAATAGAGAAATAAATAAATAAATGCAATCGATGGGAGATTCTGAAAAGATTATTTTGAAATGTTACTATGTTCATTGTACGTAAATGAAGGTGTGTGGAAACCGCCTGGACTTGACCTGGTTAGGAATTTATTTATTTTACCATCAAAATCCTTTTACAATTTGTGAAGTGCAGACAGTGTCCATCTTTATTTTATTTTTATTTTTGTTTTGTTTTTATTTTTATTTTATTTTTTTCTTCAATGGAAATATATGTAGTAATAATAATTAATAAGTCCTTAAACGGGACAATTAAAACAGACAAAACCTTTCACAAGAGAGTTGGAATGAGTGAGTAAGTGAATGGGGGATGAGGGAGGGTGGGGTGGTACAGTGCCTTGCGAAAGTATTCGCCCCCCTTGAACCTTTCAACATTTCGCCACATTTCAGGCTTCAAACATAAAGATATAACATTTTAATTTTTTGTCATGAATCAAGAACAAGTGGGACACAATCGTGAAGTGGAACGAAATTTATTGGATAATTTAAACTTTTTTAACAAATAAAAAACTGAAAAGTGTGGCGTGCAATATTATTCGGCCCCTTTACTTTCAGTGCAGCAAACTCAGTCCAGAAGTTCAGTGAGGATCTTTGAATGATCCAATGTTGTCCTAAATGACTGATGATGATAAATAGAATGCACCTGTGTGTAATCAAGTCTCCGTATAAATGCACCTGCTCTTTGATAGTCTCAGGGTTCTGTTTAAAGTGCAGAGAGAACCATGAAGACAAAGGAACACACCAGGCAGGTCCGAGATACTGTTTAAAGCCGGATTTGGATACAAAAAGATTTCCCAAGCTTTAAACATCTCAAGGAGCACTGTGCAAGCAATTTTATTGAAATGGAAGGAGTATCAGACCACTGCAAATCTACCAAGACCCAGCCGTCCCTCCAAACTTTCATCTCAAACAAGGAGAAGACTGATCAGAGATGCAGCCAAGAGCCCCATGATCACTCTGGGTGAACTGCAGATAACTACAGCTGAGGTGGGAGAGTCTGTCCATAGGACAACAATCAGTCGTGCACTGCACAAATCTGGCCTTTATGGAAGAGTGGCAAGAAGAAAGCCATTTCTCAAAGATATCCATAAAAAGTCTCGTTTAAAGTTTGCCACAAGCCACCTGGGAGACACACCAAACATGTGGAAGAAGGTGCTCTGGTCAGATGAAACCAAAATCGAACTTTTTGGCCACAATGCAAAACGATATGTTTGGCGTAAAAGCAACACAGCTCATCACCCCATCACACCATCCCCACTGTCAAACATGGTGGTGGCAGCATCATGGTTTGGGCCTGCTTTTCTTCAGCAGGGACAGGGAAGATGGCTAAAATTGATGGGAAGATGGATGGAGCCAAATACAGGACCATTCTGGAAGAAAACCTGTTGGAGTCTGCAAAAGACCTGAGACTGGGACAGAGATTTATGACAATGATCCAAAACATAAAGCCAAATCTACAATGGAATGGTTCACAAATAGACGTATCCAGATGCTAGAATGGCCAAGTCAAAGTCCAGACCTGAATCCAATCGAGAATCTGTGGAAAGAGCTGAAGACTGCTGTTCACAAATGCTCTCCATCCAACCTCACTGAGCTCGAGCTGTTTTGCAAGAATTCCAGTCTCTCGATGTGCAAAACTGATAGAGACATAACCCAAGCGACTTGCAGCTGTAATTGCAACAAAAGGTGGCGCTACAAAGTATTAGCGCAAGGGGGCCGAATAATATTGCACGCCCCACTTTTCAGTTTTTTATTTGTTAAAAAAGTTTAAATCATCCAATAAATTTCGTTCCACTTCACGATTGTGTCCCACTTGTTGTTGATTCTTGACAAAAAATTAAATTTTTATGTCTTTGCGTTTGAAGCCTGAAATGTGGCAAAATGTTGAAAGGTTCAAGGGGGCCGAATACTTTCGCAAGGCACTGTAAGTGTATCTTGTATTTTTATGTTAAACTGATGATTTTCTGACAGTTGAAAATAAAGAATAATAAATAAATAAATAAATAAATGCAAAAATAAATAAATAAATAGAGAAATAAATAGAGAAATAAATAAATACAAAAATAAATACCGAAATAGAGAAATAAATGTATAAAGGCAGAAATAAATGTATGAATAAATACAAAAATGAATAAATAAATATATAAATAAATAAATACAGAAATAAATGCACTTATTCTCATAATTGCATGCATTTCTTTGCAATGTTTATCTTTTTTAAATTTATTTATTTATTTCTGTATATATTTATTGTTTTGGCAGCCACGGTCCTCCATAGTCAGCAGGTGCCAGGTTGTGCTGAAAAATGAATTCTTCATCTCCATAAAGCTTTTCAGCAGATGGAAGTATGAAGTGCTACGAAATCTCCTGATGGCCAGCTGCATTGACCCTGCCCTTGATAAAACACAGTGGACCACCACCAGCAGCTGACATGACACCCCAGACATCACTGACTGTGGGTACTTGACACTGGACTTCAGGCATTTTGGCATTTCCTTTCCCCCAGTCTTCCTCCAGACTCCGGTACCTTGATTTAATCCGAAAAAAGAACTTTGGACCATTGAGCAACAGTCCAGTGCTGCTTCTCTGAACAAAACTTTGCGACGGCTGTTTTTCACTCAAACAGGAGCTAAAACTTCTTCAAGACCGAATGTTTGAGCTTGAATCAGAATTGGGGCTGAACACAACAATACCAGTGAAAG